TCAGAGCTAGACAGTCCTTCCTCCATCTCGGTCGTGGATATTGATGGCAAGCCCTGGACTCTTTCCTTCCTTATAATCCTTTCCTACCCGGTTGAGAAGAAACATTTTAATTAAGTTGAGGGCCTCCTTACACCTTACTTCCGGTCTCACAGCATCTCTGTTCCTTCCCCCTCTTTCACCCGGCCTGAAGGAACCGGCCCTACAGGCCTCCTTGCTTCCCGAAGTTACCGGTAAAGAAACCAAATGGTATTCATTTGTTTGCTTTACCTGCTGCCCCTCCTAAAACAGTTCTAAAGCCACCACAGCCCAACTCCTCTCACCTCCCTCTTTCTCCAGGGCACACTTATCTGGTTCCGCTGTTATCTGTTCAGCCCTGTGCCCCACCCCCACCACTCAGGGTTTAGCTCTAAATAAATGCGAGCTCATGAAAAACCTCCAATTTAGACTGAGCAAATATCTTGCTTGCTTGTCTGTGTCAATTTTTCAGACATTAAATCCTCCATTTCTCCCTTTTAGCCAAGCCATTAAACTCCCCACGGGTGGTCACAGCAGGATTCCCAGCAGACCTTTAACCCTTTGCTGACACTTACTTAATACAATGTTCGTATTTAGTGATGGTTTAAGTTTAGATGGAGACAGCAAGTTTCAGAAGGTCAGAGTAAGTTGCAAATAGTCAGAAAGAGTTGAATACCTTATTAGAGAACGTCTGGCCGTGCCAGAAGGTGAAAGAAGCTTGAGAGTTTACAGAGAGCTGGTTGTCAAGAGAAGTTGATGAGAAAAAGTGGCTGTGCTTATTGTAAGAGAAGGGTTACAGTGTGAGAAATATGAAGGACATCAAGCTGATCGCTCCCCGGTAAAACAAAGAGACAGAGCAGCTTGTCACTGCCCACTGTCCAGCCAATGTCCAGCCACAGCCAGTCTATTACTTCACGAATCAGGATGGACATGGCTTTTCTCGGCATGAAGTTTGCAGATGTAACTGTTGGAGAGGTCAACACGGAGACACTGAACAGAGATAGGATGGACACAAAGAACGTGAGGTTCAGAGTGGCTTTATCAGGGCAGGGAAGG